CATTAAATCCTTGCGTAGCTGGCAATTTGTTTCAAACATGATTTGGACTCAATTTTGATTCTCTCATGTCTTTTATCAGGAAGAAACCACGGACCACGGGTTTAACATGGAGTGTTAACATCCTTCTGATCTTAATTCTTTGTTTCAGATACTTAAGCACCATGGCTTCATATCAAAACAGCTGCTGTTGCTATTGTATAATAAAGCTATTTACAAAACACCATGAACTCTTGAAAACTTATTCCTAAAAAACAATGAATTCCACAACTGAAAAATTTAATGAACTTCGAAGGAACGAGGAGTTGAGCATCAGTTAAATATTTCAAAGATACGAATGATGTCAATGGTCTGCAGATCGTGCCATATTAACCTTCATATTCCTTGAAACTGTTAGGAGAAATAAATGGTAAAAGTGGCCAATGTTTTTATTTATGGGCTTGCTGTCGTGGTGCCCATTGTGCAAGACTGTTATGCAATGAAGTTGCGTAGGCTTACGAGATGCAGAAACTTCATTTAATGAAAGCATGAGCATGGTTATTTGGATAACTAGAGGATTATGTTTTCGCGTTAAGCAACCACATCTGCCTTATGATGAAGATTTAGCATACTGCAAATTCACAATTTGTTAATGCTTTTATTATTTTTCTTCAGGATCATGGCTGGCAGAGCGAAGCAGAACCAGTGAATGAACAAGCTGTTGCGAATGTTTATGGTTCAATGAGGGCTGAAATGAACCAAATTTACTCGAAAATCACAGAATTAGAGATGGAAGTTAGTGAGCACTCGTTGGTAATCAATGCAATACAACCACTTGATCCATCAAGGCGGTGTTACCGAATGATTGGTGGCGTGCTTGTGGAGAGAACAGTTAAAGAGGTCCTACCAGCTGTTCAACGGAATAAGGAAGGCCTTCTGGAGGTAATTGCTCGGCTTAATGAGGCCCTCGAAAAGAAGAAAAAGGAAATTGCTGATTTTGAGGCTAAATACAAAATCAGAATTCGTAAAGCAGATGAAATGAAAGATGAAGGTGGCAAAAGGAAGGCTCAGCACAGGGAGTTCTTGTCGGTCCTGCTGGTGGAGATGAATAGGAAACGTGTGTCTGTTTGATGCCCTTTTATCTGTATCATCTCTAATTTGCTGCATCATATCCAAGTCTTTAACATCTTAATCTAGCTCCTTTTTGTTGCATTTACTGAATTAAACTGTCAGTTTTAAATAGTTACTTGCCCAAGTTTTATGAAGGATACTGAGCAATAGGCTTTTCCTCTGCATTTGTTTTTCGTTTAGTGGTTCGACTTCCAAAAATGAATGATGTCGTGAACAACTGCAGGGAGCCCTCAGATCACTTTCATCTAACAACAGTTACTGAACTTTCCTAAACTAACAATGGCAGGGTATGAACTCTCTATGTTGTTTCCGAGAAGTGATTACATGGGGAACTGGTAGTGTTCTTTTAGCAGCACAAGTTACCCCCAACTGCCTTGGTTAAACCCCAAAAAATGGATCTTGTGTTGCTCTTGGGTTTTTTGTCCCTATCATCTTATTCTACCGTGACCAGTAATTTGCCCTATTCCCCGAGTTCCAACTTGTAACACGATTCCAATTCAAGGAGCTTAAAATGTGTAATTAGATCTACTCAAAGAAGAGAAATCGTAGGAGCCATACATTTAACAGTTACAAATAAACATGATGAGTGAGGCGAACGCCCTTGAACAAATTTAGAATGCTTCAATTACAAGTCTGAGGTTGTAAAGGATTCACATTAAAAATGAGCAAACAATTCAATTTAAAAAGGAAAGATAGAGCCAAAGCAAAGGCAAAAACTCAGTATTAGGGAAAAAAACGCAAAAATAAAAGGCAGCCCCAGGATAACAAGCTAGACACTCTCCCACTATAGACCACAACTCCATAACCATACCCTGTTCCTTATCCTTCCATCTTCATCAACTAAAGAAATCTTGGATGCCTCTTCCAGCAAAAACCCGATCAGAAAGTTCAGCCAAAATGGCATTAACAGTGAGCAAAACGACGCTGGAACCAGCAATAACTGCCAGAACAACCCCAGTAGTTCCCAAAACTTTATTAAAAGCAGGCCACTCAATTTCCCTCACTTCCTCGGCCACCCCACTCCATAACAAATCTTGCTCCTTCTCAGCCCTCTCCTGCATCGCCTTCTTGATTTCAGCACCCAACTGGGATACCTCATCACCCTCACTAGAATTCCCATCTGGGGTGACTCTATCACCAAATTCCGGTTTATTTTCTGGGCTTTTTGTTTCAGCTTCAGAAGTACTAGTATTGTTCGTACTTTCTTGGGTTGCTTTGAAAATTATGGGCGTGGTTTTCTGGCTGTGGTGACTAGTGGGATGTGGTTTATCAACTTTGTGAAAGTGGGTTGGGATTTGATTGGTAAAGTAATCTTTGAGGGGTGGAGTTTTGGTGAAATAATTGGTACGGAAGAAGAGGAGGGGGATGGGGAGATTTGTGAGAGGGAAAGTGCCATTTCTGAGAAACAGAGGAATTTTTTAGCTTTTACAGTAATTATAGAAAAAAAAAAATAGTAATTCAGTAGCCTTTAGTTTAACAGCTTTGCTTTGTGCGAGTTTCGGGCCTTACGGCACTTTCAAACTGCAAGTTGGGTTCTTTATGGACTTCAAAGTTTAGACTCTGGCAGCTTTGTTTCAGTCATTTGGGCCAAATCCAAGTCCTTTTTTGATCTCCTAACCCAAAGAAACAGAAGTAAAGAATATGTTTTTTTTGTCTCACTGTCTATTAGAATAAATTTTATATATAATGACGCTATATATACTATCACGGTTAATTTGAAAAAGTTTTCTTGTACTACAAAAACTTTATTAAGGTTCTGTTTGATAATCTAATTCAGCACTTAAATTTAAGGATTAATCACATTTTATCCCCTTAAAGAATATCCTATTTCTCAATTTACCCCTAACCTTTAATTTTGCTCACTTAACCTCCTTTAAGACAAAATTGCCCTTGCATTATTTTAACTTTTCATTTACCTTGTTTTCCTTTCTTTTATTTCTTTTTCTCTTTCTTCTTTATTTAATTCTTCCTCTTTCCCACAAAAATTTTCACCTTAATGATTGAAATTAAAAAAGAGGAATTGCAGAGATCTATCTTCTCTTTAAATGATTAAAAAAATATTTAAATCACTTTTCTAAAATACAATTTTTTTAGCCTTTCAATTCTTTTAATTTTGGGTTTTCCTCTTTCCTTTCTAGTTTCTCATTTTATTCCCAAGAAAATATCTTAAGATGAAATTGTGACCTGATTAATAATCAGCAATTGAAATTTGTGACACGTTGCATCATACAAAAAATCAAAATTAGTTATTTATGCCTTTTAAACCTTCACCCAGAAATATGCAATTACAAATTCAAAACAAAATTTTCGTTGAAATGGAATTTCTATTGGGAAGGATGAAAGAGAGAAGAAAGAGAAAAATAAATAAAAGAAAGAAAAACAATTTCATCTTATGATATTTTCTTGAGAATAAAATGAGAAACTAGAAAGGAAAGAGGAAAACCCAAAATTAAAAGAATTGAAAGGCTAAAAAAATTGTATTTTAGGGAAGTGATTTGATTATTTTTTTAATCATTTAAGGAGAAGATAGATCTCTACAATTCCTCTTTTTTAATTTCAATCATTAAGGTGAAGATTTTTGTGGGAAAGAGGAAAAATTAAATAAAGAAGAAGAGAAAAAGAAATCAAAGAAATGAAAACAAGGTAAATGAAAAGTCAAAATAATGCAAGGGCAATTTTGTCCTAAAGGGGGTTAAGTGAGCAAAATTAAAGGTTAGGAGATAAACTGAGAAATGGGGTATTCTTTAAGGGGATAAAATGTGATTAACCCTAAATTTAATGGAATTAGATCTTAACATATTCAGACGGTTTGATAACCAAAAATTAAGCATCTGAATTAATTAAGTAGCATTGAATTTTCTAGGCAAAATTTGCTCCCAAAATTAAGTGATAAACTATTCATTTATCACTGAATATGATATACACTCAAATGTATTAGATTTAACACTTAACAATTCAATAATTTAATAGATTCAAACTTCATATTTCAAGTTTCAAATTTCAATTTTATCAAACGCACCCTAAATCAATGAGCAAATGTGGTGAGATTTGAGTATTCGTCTTATTCTTTTATTTTGAGAACAATATTTTAGAAGTTGTTTTCGTTGACAAAAATTAAAGTTCAAATGGAGCAAGGGAAAAAGGACACAAAGTTAGGGGTACTTTTGTAATTGTGCTTACACCAATAGAACAAAAATAGCACTTCTAGACTACAATCTTGCCATCTGTTTGGGTTTGTTCTCCAGACTTAAAATGCCCCAACACTAATACTTACTTTTTTAAGTCGTAGCAATCATAATATTAGTACTTGAACCGAAAAAGGTACCTTGGTAGTAATTGTTTTGAGTCTTTCTTGTTTAATATGGATCTTTTGGTTATCTAGTGCTAGCTTAAGATAACTGATTGTGTAGAGTTAAAAAAAAAAATTTAATGAGTATCCCATCCAGTAAGATATCTAAATGGCACCTAATTTACCATGTGAATGTACTCTCTCCCTGCATTTAGATATTTTTTAAAATCAATTTCACTCTTATTAAAAAAAATTAACACTTGAATTTATCTTAACAGTCTCCCCGAGATTACTTGTAAGCCCAACAAAAAAAAAAAATTGCATTTTGCAAATAACATTTCTAATTATATCTTTGAAAAGCTGAAGCAAGCTAAATTAAAGAAGCCTATATTCTTGCAACAACCAAAGATTTGACATCAAATTCAAATAAAGCAACATATTTTAGATAATTTTTTATTTTTTTAAATTCATTTCTCATCCCAACAAGCCAATCAGTTGACTGTTGCATGGAGTATTTGGCAGAACGAGAGTCTGAGTTAAATCAAGAAAACCCACAACCGGGAGAGTTGGATCACTATCACTACCATAAACATATGGTGCAGCCAACCGTTTGAAAATTTCGTGAACAAGAATCTACCCCAGTTATCTGAATTCTGAAGCCATGGCCTACGCTGCAGCATAATGTTCCCTTCACTGTAAAAGAAGGTGAACGTGAATAAATCGTGGAGTCTGAGAGGGCTCAGAATAATTTTGTTGTTCACATTCATACAGAACAATCAATGACAAAAAGGAGAAAGTGCAAATGGAAGAAAGATTCCAAAAAGTTCAATTCCAGGGAAGTAGCCAAACCAATGGACAAGAAAATGAAGTATATATCTTCAATCTGCAACCACATGCTCCATAGAGCATGTATTTCAGGTACTGAGTTCCAAAATTGGATCACTGTTTTTAACGATTCGCTCTAAATTTTTTTTTCACTGTTTGGTACTGGATTTGGACGCCTGAATAGATTGAAATGACATATCCACAACTAGACAAATTTCCAGCTCCGCCTTGTTATTTCAATCTTCCGCAACAGTATGATATGTCCCAATTATTGGCAACCAGTTTCAATCATGAAATTTGCCTCACCAATCACGAGGACGTGTCTTCAACTATGCAAAAGTTCAATTAACAGAATTTACAGAAGATAAATTGGGCATAGTTTTATCCGTTCTCCAAAACGTAAGATGGTATTGGTGTCTGTCTATTCATAGTTATCACTCGACTTTGCATGAGGATTAAAACCTTGTTTAATTCTCATCCCCTAGATTAGTTATGTTGTGGAGTATTACAGAATTAAGGGAGAGCAAATGTCCAAATTTAGAACACACACACACACACACTTTGTAATCCCATTAACAAAAAAAACAACAGAATTCTTGAAAAGTCCAAAGCAATTGTACCCAATATTACTAGTAGTACTTTTGGAAGAGGGAACTAATTCCGCAAAATCTAGTCATATATCCTCCTCAAGAAAATCACCAATCACCATAATTGATTTTTTATGTTCTCCATGTAGTTGTATAGAACAATATTCTCCATGAAAATTCCACGTAGATTGTCATTTCCATGTTACCATATTGCAGGTGGTGAAATGATACCAAATGCTGTACATCATTTATCCTCATGTGGCCGGCGGGCCTCTCACGTCAGTGATGAAATTATAGATATCTAAAGTCATTTTCATGTAGATATTGCCTCCATTTCAGTCCAAGCTGTCCGCTCCAACTAAATCATGAAACTCGCTAAAAAAAAGGGTGGAAAAAAAATCCAAGAAAAGTGACAAAGTTGTTCTTAAGCTGAATGAGCCCAAGTGTAATCAAACTATATATTCCTTTTTTTTTTCTCTTCCTGATCAACATCTTCTGTATAATCACCAATGTAATTGCAAATCAAGCATGCTCATTCATTAACATACAATAGTACTTCAAGTTCAGCTGGTTCACGGGGAAAGAGGTTTCTCTGGGCTCAATTGAACATCGTGCAAACAAAAACATCTTTTGGTACATGTGATTGGACTTCTTAGTAGTAAACTCACATGCCATGGGAAGTGATTGGTATTTGTTAGATCCCAATGCCCCATACAACTTAAAAATCCTGGCAATTGAATCATATGTGATTTGTTAATAGAATGGAGAAAGATGAACTTAGGATTGCTTAAGCTTGTTTATCATCATTTGGACCTTACTCACGCCCTATGAAGTTTTCAATTTGTGCATTTGTCCTCATCAAAATCTAAGTTAAGTTGTCTCTACCAATTTCTTTAATCGAACTAAACCATACATGCATGCTTAAATTTCGTGGGTCAGAGCAGTTTTAATTAAAGACACTTTCTTGTCTCTTCAAAAGTTAAGCGCCACATACCAAGTCAAGTATGCCCAACCAAAAGCTCATTCTCCAAAAACAAACAGTTCTTAATTAATAGCAGTTTCATGGGAAGTAGGTATCTCCTCATATCCTTACCTAAACCAACTAATTAAGAATTTTTAGCAAAGAGGTGGTTGGTGGTGCGATATCTTTCTTTCTTGGATCCTCTTCTTGTGTCTCCCCCGCATGACATAAAAAAATGACAGTAGTGAAGTTTTAATACTATATCTTCTTGTTACTATTGAATCAACTCTCTCGCTAGTGCTTTAGATTTCTCAATTGCTTTCGCGCATAATTGGGCTTCCATGTCCTGCGAAGATAAACAGCATTCTCTGAAATGTCTTATATCTAGTTTAGATCAAAGGCAGTTTGGCTTTCCAGAATAGTTAAGCTCTTTGGGTTTTAATTCTCTCAATTTTGCCCATGGAAAAATGTAAAACCTTATTTTAATCCATCCGCTATGCCTCCATCAATATCTTTCAGGGTAGTGCCCCCAAGAGTGCACATGCCTATGCAAATTTTAGAGAGTACATTAGTCAAACCAACACCATGTGACTTGGGGTAAAGATATGCGTTTATTTTTCATTTCTTACCAACTATTAGATGGCCTTTTCACTGGTGTGTGTGTGTGTGTGTGTTTTTTTTTTCCCCCTTATTCTTTTTACCTTCAACTTCAAGATTTGTGGCTTTTATATGGATGGCTTATGAAACAGATGTGACGATGCCTAGCTTTGGTTGAGAAACTTTGAGGGCCCAAAATAAAATCAAATGTAAACTTTCAAGGGCTAAAATGAAACAATTTACATTTCAAAGGGATCAATTGACAGTTTGACACTAATCGCAATTTCTTAGCGCCTAAAGTTCTCGGATGATGATAATGCACGGATTGCTCCCAAAGTACAGATTGTGTTGTTTCGTGGAAAAAGGAAACATCAGAAGAGTACAAATTAATGTTAGCCCAGACAACTGCATAGATAAAACAAGAAAAGTTGATCTCTGCCTCTCCATTCAGGGCAATGTTGGGCTTGGTTCTAGAGTTCTAGACTTCTAGTTGTTCATGGAAATAATATTATTGTTGTTCTCCTTTCAATCAACCTATTTGATGCATATGAAAAAAGCCACTTGGTCGAGTAACCTCTCCATCATAAGTTCGTTTTTTCTCCTCCCTAATTAATCGTCTGCGTCTTCTTGTCTTTTCTTTAATCTTGTAGCTTACATTAACCCGGTGGACTAAATTAATGTCCTTGGTCATCAAATGAGTTGTGACTTGGTAATGATGTGACAAAATTGACTGTAAATTTGTCTTACTCAACCCATACTTCTAATTTCTTGTTATTTGTCGGAATAGATTTACCTAACATAATAAAACAGCTTAGCTAACGCAGACAAAATAGCTCAAACAGCAGGCATAGCTTGCAAACTACTTACCGAGGATAAGAAATTTGGTGCAATCTGTCATAGAACCTGAAAATAATTGTGAGTGTTACTTGAAAATGTCGGTAACCTTGCACATCAACTAATAACCTCAAGTTTGATAACACATTTTTAAGGAAGAATCTTACCTTAGGCTGGGACAAATGGCACACGGCTAAGATATGTAAGAGCCCAAATGCTAAAGTCGCAAGATATACAAGAACTGTACTGTTGGACCAGCCTGCATTTCATGAAAGTACTGAATGGAAGGAAGTGGAAATATATCTGCATCTTGGTACTTTGGCACTCAAAACCATATGCAAGGTAGAAATGCAGCCTATCCCGTCCCCTATTTAAGTAGCACTGGCCTCCTTAGGTCCTCAACACCTGTGTTTTTACTGGCCCTTTTAGCGACATTCTGGTTTCGTGGGTGCAAACCGCAAAGCACCTTTGGTCATGTGAAAGCCTATGAAAGTGGGGTGCCCTGGACCAGGATACAAAATTAAGGACAACAAACGAACTTCCCTGTCCCTCTAATAATTTCGTTATCAATTACCACAAGAATACCAAGGCATCCAACGTTTCCCAAGAAGATTCACACAAACACACAGATTAATTTACACATCACGAGAAAAGACATTCTTTACTAGCACCACATTTTACAATATACACGAACATTAGACGTTAGAAAATTACAGCATTCGAGGAATCATATCTCACTTGCCAGTTCTATTTAGTTTGTCATAATACAAGAACTAGTCTTTGCCTGCAAAGACAAGGAAAGCCAACAGAGGACCCCTAAGTTACTTTCTCCCTTAAAGCACGAAGGAAAAAAAAAGTGAAGAAAAATAGAAAAAAGAACAAAGAAAGACCCCCCACACTCCTACAGCCTACACCTAAAAAAAAAAATGAAATGTAAATGAGAAAAAAGGTACACAACAAGTTGATGTCGCACATTACGGTGTATCATCGGCTTTCTGGCCACTCCCCTGTTGTGGATGACATTAAAGATACAATATAAGGTCAGTGAAAGCACCAATGATGAACTTGTGAGTATGTTTGGATTAAGTTGAGATAGCACAGGAGAAGCTCATGCAAGAATCCCAATCAGCTTTCACATCTTTTATTCCTTTGCATCCACCATTCTTGCATTGATCTTCTAAAATCAGTATAAGGGTCCGGTGAATAAGTGTGGATAGCAACACCACCGGAGACTACGGTGTTATCTGGCTCCGGTACCTGCGGCCTTACCGGTGACTCGATGATGGAATTCGAGTTCCTGGAGACGAAAAAAAGAAGCGTTGTGAGGCGAAAATGGTGGAAAAATCAGGGATGGAATCAGAATTTCATCAGATCTTCCGATGAGGAGAAGAAGTCGTCTGTTGAAGAAGTGAGAGACTTGGAATTGGAGTGGGCGTCTGATGAGCTGAGGTCACGATAGAGGGAGTTGAAGTTTTTGAGTGAGGATGAAGTGCTGGCATTTGGAATATTGATTGGTACAGCGTTGTCATGATAATCTTCTTCTTCTTCTTCAAGCGTCAAAGGTGGAGATAGAGTTGTGGGGAGGCATTTGATCTTGGAGACACAGAGGTAGAAGTTCTTTCTGAAGATGTTGGCCATTCTCAGTTCTTTTAACCAGGGTGGGAGAGTTAAAAGTCTTCCATAATAGGCATATATATATATTATACTGGCCAGCAGTGTATTTGTATCTCTTTTGTACTACACGGTTGGTGCGTGTATCTATGGGTGTATGTGACTATGTGTCCGTGGAGAATATTCATGTGGATATGTGTATGTAACTTCATGCATGTCTGTATGTGTAACTGTGTCATTGACCAAGGTTTATATATTTTTTTGTTTAAATCAAATTTTAGTGTAAATATTTTTTTCTATACCAGTAGCAGCTGTCCATGCATGTCATATCTCTAGAAAGTAAATCTAAGATTTCAGTGGAGATTATATATCATTCAAATATGTTACTGTATAAAAATTTTTTACAGTGACAGTTTAAAAAAATTTATTCTTCATTGTTTAAAAATTTTACAATAATGTAATTAACAATTTATATCAACCGGCCTAAAAGCAGGTTCTACTCTCACCGTGTCAGTTTCTCAACCCTTCCCTGCTTTTTCTTTCCCACCCTTCTCCTTTTAAAAGCTTATAAAGAAAATAAAAAGATATTTGATGTTGCACCAGTAAAAAATTAAGTCAACTAATATGTATTCTCTGCATTTTATAAGTTACTAAAGATAATCAGCATAATCATTGGTTTTCTGTTAACGTTAGCAGTCAAGTCTTCTGACTTGTCTAGAGAAAATTACATGATGCTGATAGTTTCAGTAGGATAAAGGAAAATTGAAAGATTGGATCAAGATAAAATCAAGAATATGCTATCTATCAACTATTTTGTTCGAGAGCATGGAATTCAACCTTTCTATAGTGTAAGACAAGACTTGGTGCTACCATTTTCTTCTAAGCAAAAGAACCTAGCTATCGATCGGGCTTGCAACAGGGCAGATCAGAATTCGACTATTGCATTAACCCTTCTTGATTTCTACGTGTCCAAGCAACAACTCCGGTTCCATCAAAGCAACGACCCTCAAATGGCCTTGCCACCCTTGCAGCACTGTAAAGGAACATAGAACATAAATAGTAATACTACTACTCCCTACTAAGAAGAAGAAGAACAAAACGAAAAGCGAAGTTGGAGGATATGCAGTACACAAAATCAAATATTTGAGCATGTGCGTTTCCTTGCATGTGGGTATGTAAACTGTAAAGTGTAGTCCTTGAGTAGCTTTGCAAGTAGAAATTCTACACGAAAGCAACGTTACTGTGCAGAGAAAAATCCTGGACTCACAAGTGTCAAGTTTACATAGCTCTAGCTCGCTAAATGAGTTAGTAAAAGTGTACAGAGTTTTTGGAGGGCAACAATTTGTCCTTGGGACGTTTTGGCATTTAAGGTTCACGAGGGCACTCGTCCTTCTTCTTCTATTTATAAATTCCAGATCCAGAAGGCTATCATCATCGGGTGACTGTGCATCTATAAACTTACCCCTCTAGGATTTCTGTGAGTGACAAAAAAAAAGTTTCTTCAAGAATTTTTGACAGAAATGTTGGTCGAGTTTCCTGTTGTTCAGGGCCCTTTTAAATTTGGAAATGTAAACAGTACATCTGGTCCACTGACGGGTATTGCTACTGTTTGAATCCAAACTTGGTCATCAAAACTGGAAAGATCGATTTTTGAAAAACTCACAATGAGCTATTAGCTGGACAGGAAAGAAGAAGAAGAAGAAGAAGAAGAAGAGGAAAAAGAAACATGATGAAAACATGAAAAGGAAAACTTGATTGAGTAATGCATTCCGAGAAATTTGTCTACCTGGGTAATCCAGAATTCTGAATCATACTCAAGCATGGTTCAAAAACTCGGCCACGTCGTCACCGTCTCGGGCTCTCGAGACGATGTCGGGATAACAGGCTTGCGGCATCCCCCGGGGCAATAGGCTTGCCAGCAAGCTCACCGGTGACTGGAAAAACATCTCCATATTTGATTGGCTCCTGACCTTCCTGAGGCCTTCTTGGTTGTTCTTGGCTCCTCTTTGCTGTAGTATTACGCAATTGTTCTTGTTTCTTGGTTTAGATGGGAAATTGATTTTAAGAAGTTCGTGCTTTGAGCCTTCGGCCGTAAAATGAGATGCTATATACCATGCAAAATTGGCAAGTTAATCACCGTCGAGAGGGAAAAATGGAAACCATTAATCGCCTTTCTGTTTCATTGATCAGTGGCAATTGGTGAGCAGATGAATTAGCGATGCAGACGCAAGTGGCGCGTTAAGAGATTAATTTGTCTTCACCATGAGGAGCAATGCCTCGGGCGGCACCCCATTGGTGAAACTACACATACGAGATTTAGTCTATTGATCTATTAACAGTTGGCAAAACAAACTCATTTCTCGTAAGAGTCTAGTAAACTAACCATATATGATGAGGTAACAAAGTCACGAATTTGCTGGTACATCGCAAAGAAGGGAAAATAAGGCAAACGGAATGCATAAAAAGCACCTTCTTAGACGATGAAAACTTGCAAAATGGTCTCCAATTTAGGTTACATAATAGACTGTTTGGAGCAATTTATAGCGGAAAAGATTTTCGGAGCATCAATCTCTGTATGAAGTAGGCACATAATATTCCTGAAAAACCAATGTAGTAGCATTCTAAATATAATATCAGCGTTCTGCCTGTATCGACTACAACTGGATGGTTATTCCATTACATATAATTCTCACAGGGCATTTGTGGATAGATATTTCACCAAGAAAGTAGTGCATCATCAACTGATGAAAACACAGAAGCCAAAGCACATACTACAACTGTTTGCCCTTTTGGATGACATCGTCCTATCGAATTCATAGATATATCCTCATGTTGCAATATCTATCTATCTAGCAAGGCCAGAAAGATAAGATAAGACCTAGGACTAACAATCTAAGCTTCAACTTCAAACCATGAGTATTCCAAGTTTTGTACATGCTGCATTATTATGTAGCCATGCCTCAAAGGGAAGCATTTGGTCCATCATTCTTCGCTTCGCCCAGCAACCTCTAACCCATTACCTGCAAAAGATTACATGTTTGAACCAAACTACCATAGTTATTCCTGAGCTTTGGATTGCAGATATTAACTAGAAGCAAAGTTCATAAAGGATCATTTGAACTGGTAGTGACATGCCAAAATGGTGATGATCTACATCTGCAGAAAATGCCGGATTGTGATATGAATTGTCCACTTCAAAGTTCTATTGTTATTTCTTTCCCTTCTATATTCCTTTCCCGGGAAATGTCCAGTTAATTGCTGATTTAACTAAACTACCAACAGGAAACTTACCATCTGGATCAAAGAAGAATGCTTGTTTGGTCTTCCCATCTGGTTGAGTCCTGTGATGAATCTGGATCCCCTTCTCCTGCAAGGGACAACATATTTATCTTCACCATATAGAGATCAGGAAAGAACAAAAGAAAATTCCTTTCTTATTTGGGGGGGGGTTGGTGTTGTTTGGTATCAGCAGAGGGTAACTGTTCCACGTTAAAAAAGTTTATAGTGAACTACACAATGTTTTTCTTTTGGAAACTGTTTCAAATAATCTAAATGATGCAGCAGATGCAAATTCTTTATCTGTAAAGTGGAAGTTTCTGTTTGCTCAACCCTTCTCGCAAACTGGGAACTTAAACTACAATGATTTCTAAGCTGACATATTCTTTGAAACATACCATATGAACCTCTGCCACAACAATTAGACAAGTTGGAATATTCAATATCCAGACTACTCAGTGCTAAGATTTCGAAAATGTGAATAATGCTTAATTGCATTACTTAATTACTGGAAGTCATACAAACACTTTCTCAAACAACAATTTGACTTTTCTGAGATATCAAGACCAATCTTGATCTCATGCACACCATATACATTCAACTACTGCATCAGATGCAAAATTCTAAAATGAGAATAATGAGAGTTATATAACCCCAGGCATCACATCAAGTAGTGGAGGAGCACAGAAGAGTGTAAAAACTGAGAACGCTACTGTTGCCATTAAAAAAAAAAAAGAAGAAAACTTGGCTATCTAAATCCATGTTAGATTGAATGTTTCAGATAAAGATTTGAAGAACCGACCTTCGCTCTTCAATTATCTTGAAAAGGCACATTATCAGGCTAGTCAGCTAACTTAATAGTCATTATGGGTCATGTCCTTGTTTCTCAATAGAGAAGAATGAACAGATATACCACAGGTGCTTTTTCTTTACAAATTTTCAATAGCAATATCCAATTTGCATTCTACCTTACAGCCCAACTTACCTTCTACTAAATGGTACCTAAAGTATGCCAGATTAAAGTTGCCAGTCCTCAAGAAATCAGTTTATTCAGCAATTCACAACTATTATTCGTACAAGAGATAATTTGTGCAACAATTAGAGGTTAAAATTTCACCAACCAACATGAGAATCAAATCTGCAATAGTTTCTGTACAATAAGACAGCAAGGTTTTGGCATTATTAATGCCGTCAAATTGAATTCTGAAATCTCATGTACGAACAACAAACGAAAGTTGATGCAAGAAGAGTTAAAAATCCAATGGACTCAGAGGATGAAAAATTCGTCATTTCATTCTTCTCAGTGTAAGTAAATTCTGAATGCTACTGCTATTGTTTTTCTTATCAAGCGGCTATCTTGAGTTCCATCTTTTAGGCCCATACGTTTTCAGGTTCTAATTTCTTGTCTATTGCAGGGCCTCTGGAAGGCAGTGATCACAGGATTCCCTCCGACGTATCCAACCAAAAAAGACTTCTTCTTTCATTGCTGTCTGCTTAATACGGTCTTGACACTAGAGTCAATTTTGGAACAGCAACTTCTCTGCTTAATAAGAATCAGAAGTCAGATATTGACTTCTGTACACTAAGACAGAGACTTCTGTACTCTTGTATTCTTTTAACTTTAAGAGCAACAAAGAAGATCTCTGATCCAAACATCTACTTGAGTAGTTTGGAACCACAATAAACAAAGCTACAATTTTTTTTTTAAGTTTCAATTTAAAACACAGCATTCATTTCATCAAAATAACCCGTCCATTCAAACCCACAAAATATCAGACTTAAAAAATAATAAAAAATAAATAAACGCAGTACACAGCAAATATATACTCCAACCTTGACGGCCTGAACAAAGGAGTCGAAATTGGAGACAGAGAAGCAGATATGATGACCCCTGGGGAGATCTTGGGGTCAGCCACTGCAGAGGTGGAACTCCATGGACCTTCAGGGAGCTTTGTGGTAGGTCCCTCTCAATTAGATGAAGGTAAAAGGATGGTTCCAACTTCAACCATATTACATCGAACTCAAACCTTGGACTTTCTACCCGCTGAAAACCAAATACCTGCAACCAACCCACAGGCTGAATTCCCCATTTTCATCCAATCTTTACATAATTGTCAAGGCATACAAACCTCTATATAGAATTGAGCCAAGCGTTGGATATCTGAGGATTCCCTAGAGACATGATTGAGGGATACTCCCTTAGCCGCCGCAGCTGCCATCTATACCTTTTTCAATAATGGTTCTGGCTCTTTTTCTTTTCTTTTTTCTCAGATTAGCAATGGAATGAGTTGTGGGAAAATTCGGTTTCCTTGGTGTTTGCTTGTGGTGTCTACGTGGAGTTTGGCGAGTAAAGAAGATTAAAGAGTTACGTGAATGTCTTGTTCCTTTTGGTATTGGAGAGACCGGAGCCGGGAGGACGGGGGAAATGGCCACCAAATACTAGTAGTCCGGTGCCAGTAGTCTATCAAAAGAGCTTCAAAAATTTTATCAATCGCCATATGAATTGCTAAATTCTTGTACCATTTTTTTTAGACTTATTATCACTTTAATCCCTTAAACTATCTCACTACTATCAGTTTAACTCTTAACGTTATATTTTAGTCGTTTCACCCCATAAATAATTCAACTCAACATGATAAATATTCGGACAAAAGTACCCTTTTGTTAGATAGCATTACTACATTGTTATTATCATTTTATTTCTTTAAATTACAGTAATACAATCACTTTGATCCCTGATATTATTTTCTAAACATTTTACCTCATCATTAATCTAACCAATATAGTAAAAAAATTTAAAAGTATTTACCATTTATTATATATAATTAAAAATAAAAAGTTAGAATGGTTATTCTTCCTGTTGTTTTCACTTTAAGAGATCCAAATACATAAAAATAAAAAGGATTTTCTCAAATTTTTTTTTCACACTTATTAATACTAGAAAATGAAATAGGAGAGACGGAGATAGAAAATTAGATTTTACAAAGAAAAAAAAAATAAGAATCTAACATTATCATATTACTTTAAGGTTATTGGGATTAGAATTGAAATTAGGTGATAAATATAAAAATAAAATAATTTTAGAATAATAAAAATATTTCATTCTTTTTTATTTCTATTTAAAAAAAAACAATTGAGTCGAATCGAGATTGAGTATCACTGTATTCAAATTTGACTCGACATGTAAAAGGATACTCAAACTTGAGTAGATAGCATTGTTAGAGCTCGAACTTGATGAATTGCTCATAGAATTCAAGCTTGACTCACATGAGGGTCGAGTTACTGCGAGTTTCATCGAGATTGAATCGGGAAAATTTGGGAATTTTGAAAAAGACATTATTGCCCTTCAAAAAATTTCATATGACTTGAAAAATTTCATAAATTCAACTACTCTTGTGAGTACAAGGGTAATTTCATAATAATATTATATTAAAGAATTAAAATTAAAAGCTTGATAAGGCCAATGAACTATCAAATTTTACTATTGGATATTCGAACTCGACTTGCAAAATCTATCGAGCTACTCGAACCCGATCAACCCGAGTTCAAATCGAGTTTTTGACCAAGTTGCTCGCAAGCAGTTCGGTTTAATTACAACCATAATTGTGTCAATGGCATCAGCCTGATTAATACAAAATTCTTCAAATTTAGATAAGTGCACAATTTAAGAACTAGATGTTTCAGACAGTTTAATTAGCCACATTAATCCCTAAGCTCTGTGTAAGAATAATAAAATACTGCACTATAATAAACGCAAACTCAATATAGATGGAACAAATTCAAATGTAGAAAGAATCTTTTGTTTTTTCATTCCTCAGTTGAGATATTTTTAATACTTTGACATGTGTCATTTTCTATGATTATTGAATCATTTTAAATTTTTAATAAATTTGTTGATGTTATGTAATAGTCATTGTTTGCTAAATTCAAACTCCAAGACGTAAATTTAAATGTCTAAATCCTTACATTATTTTAAAATTTTAAATTATTTTTTATTATTTATAAATCCGTGCATTGCATGTAACATAATGCTAGTAAACTAGCTATAGAAATCCTTGTGTTTTTTTTTCTCTTTTATTCTTTTTAATTAAAAAGGGCATCTCACAAATAATTGCCAAGCTTTCCCGAGTTTCGCTGAAAGGTCTATACCGATCCCGATTTCGCACCATCCTTCACCTTAAAACTATGGCATTGTCATCAATGCCTAACAATCCTCTCTGTCTCTGGGCATTGTGATTTCTTCCAGCGAAGAGAGGGAGGAGGAGATTTAATATTAGGTTCATAATGGCTGGATCCTGTCAACATCTAAAACCTGATGAATCTCCTCTCCTTTTAGTCCCTTCCATGAAGGAATATCAATGTTGTTATCAAGATGGACAGCCCTACAAATGGCCGTCCAAAACCAATGGGGTGGCCGTGATTCTTTCATGAAATCTCAGCAACTAGCCTATGAAATTAACTCTTGGTTTTCTCAACCTAAAGGTACCGAATGCGAATCCTTTCATCTTGAATTGATAGCGCCGAAGAATCCAATTATATGTCGAGTCAAGTTTCGTCATTACACCAGAGTCTCATTGGCCATACAGCAAACTGTATACGTTTGTACCTCTAACTAATGATCTTAATCTATGAACCAGTTGTGCGGCCTGAGACTGTATGGTTTAACCGTGCAATTGGCATGATGCAATGTTTTACAAGATCGAATGATAGAAAAGTATAATTTAAGACCCGAGCATGAAGCATGCAATTTAAATTTACAAGAGTCGAGACGAGTAATGTGGTGTCTCAAGACCATTTAAGTCAGCCATCGCTCCATTTTTTATTTTTATTTTTGGTTTTTGCTTCTATAACAGGAATTTTTGGTTTAGCAGAGGGCCTTACTTCTCGTAAATTGTTATATAAATACAGTATCTCTTCATATAGAAGACTTAGAGAGTCTGTTGCACGAGAGATTACTCCTTTCTTTCAACACAGAGATTGAGGATGGCAGTATTGAGGAGGTACTAATCTTAATTAGCTGCTTAAAATGTTCATAAAGATTATGAAGTTTCGTCTGTTTCAGCTGTATATGCCCATAAGTTTCATATGTGAGACAACAGGATTCCATCAGTAGCAGTAGAGCATGCAGGGCCCCTGCGCTGCATCTAGAAAAGTCACCATTTCATAATTCATGAGAGGTCCAGACAATTACTGCGTTCCTGCTCCTGCTTCCCTGTTTAATGTACTGATCTGTGCTACTTTACGTCCAATCAGATTGCAGAACAATTGATGACAATGCATGAAGAATCTTTGCATGGGAATCGGAGATTGAGCGTGGAGTCAAATCAACACTTGTTGGAATCTGCTCAAGATGCTCCTTCAAAGAGGACTGGTGCGCATTCGCTAGCCACCTGATTAATGTACGTCTCTTTTTTTTTTCTTCTCGTTGAAAAACTTTTTTTAAGATAAAGTCTTTATTAAATTTTAGATGATCATGTAAAATATAAAATTAAATTAATATAAATAATTTTTTAAAAAAATTAAATGATAAGTAAGACGAAGTGAGTACTCATTGATCCGACCCTATTTCAGTGAATATCCGCTAAAATGCGAGGTAAGTAAGAGTTATAAAATGATTAACCTGCAAAGTGTAGGTCGGATCAACCAAATAGTGGACGAGGCATATCCGACCCGTGCCCACCCTTAAAAGGTATTTACAATCTGAGCAAAAGCTGATTAATGTATACACATCTAAATTCCTCGGAAGTTCAACATGGAGCTAAAACTGTACATATACTCTGGGGAGATGTAAAATTCAATTAACTATGAAAGCGAACTAATCAAGAAACCTTGAGACTTGCAGCAACATAAATGCCTTATTTCAGATTTCATGCCCATCAATGTTGTTCACCGTGCTTTGTTAAACTTCCCAGATTGACTGCACCTGACTCAATTGTAGCTTAATTAATGTAGTTTCTCATCTTCCTCCAAAAAAAAGAAGAAGAAAACATAAAATTCCCAGCAATATAGTACATTGGCGTAGGCATGAACAAGTACATGCACATATTGTGCACAATATCTCATACCTAAAAAAGAAGCAACACCAATACGGAACGTTATTCCCTTGAGGTGCCTCTTGGTAGAGAATGACAATGACCATATAGGCAAAGACAAGGCAGCAAGGTATATCAGCAGGCAACAATGGTGAATTTTATTTGGAGAGCAATCCTATAAATCTATGTCATGGTTGACGGGAGGATCACCTTCGAGCTACACAAGGCCAGTGATGATGAAAATTTTCTTTGGTGTTCGCTACAAAATTTCTACACACTTAACATAATGCTTTCACTTGAGAATCTACAGAAGAGGAAAAAAAAGTTAGTAAGTTTTTCTTCAGTTGGTAGTAATTTTCTTGTGGTGCTTGTTTTTCGTTAACAACTGCAGGGTTGGAATAAGATGCATAAGAGCATAATGGCCATTTCGACCTTGTAGAACTGCATGCTTGGAGCTGATGTTTTAACGTATCCTACTCAACAAAGGGATGGCCCGAACGTCCAGGCCTTTTCGTAGCATGCATCTCCATCTTGCCGAACCCAAAAGGCTTATTCACTATCTTATCATTGCGTATGTAACACCATTGATTCCGGCATGGATGAAACTCCGGTTGTGCAATTAACTTGGAATGCTCCTCAGTTTTGTATCATGCTCACATCGTGCCAATTTCAAAATAATAATAATAATAATAATAAAAGGTGAGGATAGCTGTGCAATTTAATCAATGACCAAAAAGGAAGAAAAAAATATAGCCGTTCAATTAAACAATGCAAAAACGAAAAAATAAAGGTGAGTATACATATGCAATTCAAACATCCAAAGAAAAAAAAAGAAAGAAGAGAATGTGTCTCTGCAATTTAAACCGTAGAATTCTTTTTTTTTTTTCTTGCCATTAACAATTTACCAAATTTGCACATTTGAATACTAGTGATGGAAGTAGATAGAATTCAGAACTCTTAAAAATGTCAAAATACTTAAATAACGCTAAAAATATCGTATAGAAAATCAATGATCATAACGTTATAACGCTTTCATATGATGTAAAAGCTCAATGGTTATAACGTATGTACGTTACGATTATACCATGTGAATTGCCCTAAGCAGTTCAAAAGTGTAAACGATAGTAAAAACTTTGCTCATATACTATGCAAGAGCATGAGTGGACTTTTACCATGTATAGTTCCGAAACTTCAATGCTTGAGCTCCCGTAGATGTGATAAGGTTACAATGCGTTAAAATCACCAATCTTATTTCTTGGAGGTGTGATTGTATCTGGTCTAAATACGGCTGCATACCAGTCGAGCAGCTCGACTCAAAACTCGATGTGAACTCGGTCAACATCGAGTTGGAGTTGAATTTGAACTAATTAAATCGAACTCGAATTCAAAGATACTTAACTCGTGAGCCAGTTTGATTATGTGTATCAGTGTATGTATATATATGTGTGTGTGTATGTATATATATACATAATTTTAGTAGTGAAATTAATATAAATCCCTAATATTTTATTATTTATTAAGAAAAATTATTATTTTATTTATTTTTTAAGCTCGGGTTTAAACTCAACTCGATTCGAATTTGAGTCGATATCGAGTTCAAACTTTACATTGAGAGTTCGTCGAACTCGAACTTGATAAAATTAAGTCAAAACAGAGATCGATAGGTCAAAACTCAACTTGACTCGATTCATTTGTAGCACTACATCCAAAGTTTACATTGATAAATAAAATGACATTTTTTTTGCAGAAGAGGAAAACAAATCCCTACAATAACTTGCAGGTGCATAATAATACGAAAATATAGCTGCCATTTCAAATAGGAGTTGACATGCCTCATATCCGGTGCTTTTTTCCTTACTTTTTAAAAAATATGAAATAAAGAAAAGCTATTATATCAAATTTTTCGTGCATATATATAGCCAAGTAATTTAATATATATGAAATACAAAGGTAATTAGAAAGATAGTCAAGTAATTTAATGTATATGAAATAAAAAGGTAATTAGAAAGGTAAAATGTGTATGCAAGGAAAAAAATGATTTCAAATAATAACGTATCAACAGTATTGATTCACCCTATTCCCAAACAAAGGCTGAAAACTAGGAGGGGTGAAATAGTCATTTTATTTCCTACCAGTTGTCACGGAATGCTTCCAATAATCTGGACACGAGTATAGAGAAAGCCAGTCTGAAGAAGATCACCGTTCAACGCCACTTAAACACTCACATGCAGTAACAGAGCATAGCTGAGCCTAAAGGCTAAAGGCCTCTTAAGTTGCAATCTAGTAAGTAGTAACCATCAGAAGATGCTTTCAAAGACCCCTTAACATTTGGAGCTGAACCATTTACCAATTTTCTCCTATCTTTGTCAATTATCTCTCTGATCAGACACTCACTTGTAGGTGTTCTGCCGTAAGTATTATTTTGATCTTTGTTCACATTTCTTGGCTTGATCAGCGTGACATGCAAATGTTCTTAAATTGAATGCAATTTTCTTTATTTTCTGTTAGAATTCCTGCATTTTAACAACGTCCCTTATTTTGGTTTTATATGTGGATATACATACGGTTTGGGGATTGCTTGGGGTGGGGAATGAGAGACATAATCAAACCGTTTCTTTTGAGTGGTGGGATTGTTTTACAAGAAATTATAGATAGATGCATGTTGTTAATGAAAAAATCAGTTGTATTTGGGTAATATTTTTCATCTAGTGCGAGAGTCAACATTCTCATCTCTGTTTTAGCTTTTTTTCTAGTTACTTTTTTTTTGGGGTTTTCTTTTCATGCTTTAGTCGATCCATTTGGTTTGCTACTTCAGCAACCAAAGATGATCGGATCTGGAGTTTTCACTTCTCATTCTGCAAATATGTTGTAACAAGCCCCTTTTTGCATCCACTTTGACTCAAGTGTTTAGTTTTTGCACCATCATAGGACAAAAACATGTTTCTTGATAATTGGTGTAGGGACTCTACTTTGTACAAAGGCGTGCAAGTATCACTTAGTGATCAGTATAATCTTTGTATTCCATCTGTTGGGAGTGGCTCCTAATACATGTAGGCAGTTGCATGCTTATCAGAATCTTTGTCCATTTGAGTATTATGAGTGGTGGGATGTATGGTATAGTATAGCGTACAAGTTTCACTTGGTTTAGGACAGAATGTTAGCTTTTCGGTTATGCTCTACAGTAGGCTTGTTAGCTAAATTTTTTAATTCAGTTAGAATTTGAAACTTATGCAAGAAATGTGGATATTTGGCATTAAATTCATGTGTTTCTTCCCGTAAAATATTTGATTTACACGTCATAACTATCAATCAATTAACATGACTGACTCATAGTTGAGCTCATGAATCCATTGGAAAAAACATTGTGCTACGGAACATGACATATTCTAATGCAAGAGCTTGAAAATCGAAAATGCAGCCAAAAGGAGACTTGTTGAACTTTTATTAGCTAGAATAGATGTGGAATAAGATCTAGTCGTTTTTGTACCTGCTTACTTTTCTTAATTCTATCCCGTTATTAATTGTGCACCAGAGACATTGAATTCCATTGAGCTTGACTTTTGCAAGGTGAGGAAACATGAAGACTGATGTTTCCAAGGCAGGTCATGACTGCAGACCCTTGAAAAGAAAATCAGAAGTTCTTACTAGTCCAGTTCCACCTGGAGCGTCGGGCAAAGGTTTGCCATATGCTCCAGTTGATTGGCCAAATGTTGGTGATATTTGGGGTTGGAGAGTTGGAACCAGAGTTAGGGTGGCAGGATTCTACAATGATCGGTTCTTGTATGCTCCTCAGAGGCTCCAAAAGAAGCCTACTAGAAAACTACTATTCCAGAGCAAGCCATCTGTTTTACGTTATCTAAAATCACAATTCCCTGAAGCTGACATTGAAGAATTTTTTGCATCATTCACTTGGGATGTTCCAGCAGAAGCTCATTCTTCAAAACTAAGTAAGCAATTTGCCATTGTTAATGTGCAGAGATTTTTTGAACGTTGCGTGTTGACATTGCTTTGTGGACTGTATTCTATGTTTCGTTATTTTTTTCCAATATAATCTTCATGGATTGAGGACAGTTGATAATGAGTATATAAAAGTTACTTGGACTTTGGTTTATTAGCTCTGAACCAATATACGTAGTATGTTTTGGTGATATTGTGGTTAATCTGTAGCAGTTCATTACCAAAAGATGGTGGTTCTATGTCTTTCTTAAGTTACAAGTTGGGTATATTTCATTATAGTCTCAGTAGACATCAATTGGCTTCTGAAACCTGAAATCTTTGTACATTATTACATTGTTGTTAGAGACCTCTTCTTCTGTTCCATTTGGTTGTATGATCACACTCTGTTAAACATTGTACTTCTCTCCTTTGAACATAGCTAATAGGCACATGCTTTCTACCTTAAAGTTATGCTTTAGTTGAATTGATTTGCTGTCGTCTAATTTAATAGACTTTTGATCTTCAAACCCTTTTCTTGTCTATGCAAAACTATGTACCCATTTCTCCTCAAGGATATCTGCTTAAACTTTTACATGATTCAGACCTTCTATCTTCTGCCAAATTCTTCTTGAAAGTATACGACTGCGTGAGCACTCTTTCAAAAAATGTTGGCACCTCACCTTGTTAGACGTATGGAATTGATTGAATGTATCATGATGTACCCATCCAATTCCTCATTCTATCAGACTTTATTTCACCATGATTTCTGAACCCTGCAAATCAAATTAGCATCAGAACCAAGGGAAATTTATAAGCAATTCATAAAACATTTGTCCATCCAAATAATAGCACTCATAAGCAATTCATAAAACATTTGTCTGCATCATAGCAGTAGTAACAGCTTTGTGTTGCGGGTTTGTGACCTTCATTAGCTCTCAACGGGAATTCTGTAAGTTGTACAAGTTATTGCTCAAAGTTCTTTTCTGCAACAAAGTTAAAATTCCCTTTCTTCCTGCAAGGTGTTTTGCTTATGGACTTGTCAGGATAATCTTTCTTTCTTGCAGGCAAATGCAGTCCTAGTCCCCAATCACGCCCTTTGAAAAAAGAATCGGGTAAATTGGTAAAAGTGTTGAAGTCTCTAATAAAAAACAAAAAGCTGCAGTAAAGAAACCAAGCCAGAAATCTGCTAGGCGGTGCGGTAAAGAGCTCATGGTAGATGTGCCTGCAGTAGAAGAACAAACACTTGCGAGTGGTCCAACAACCAAGATTTCGGGACGTAGCCAAGTCTCTGACAGTCATGCTATTGTGTCTCCACATGATAGTGCATGCCACTCTCCGATTGACTCAAACCACAGGGTTTGAAATCCCTTGACGAATCTCAGCCTGGATTGATTCCCGAGGACTTTGATTATTTCCTGAATTCCCTTGATGAAATCCTCTTCTGCCTATCACTAGAGCTGAAATTTCTACCCTGCTGCTTCTTCGCACAAAGAAGGCATGACTCAAATCCGATCAAAACTTTCTTCTCTTCTTGCCATGGGTTTTGCTAGCTTAGCTGACTCCAACAAGCTTACTGAACTCATTGCCCTGGCATCTAAGCTCAAAAACGATCCAACACTGAGTCCTAGAGAAATTTCATGCTAAAGTTGATTGAAGAAATTCCAATGGCCAGCAACATCTTCCTAGAGGCTAAGAAGTTATCAGGACAAGCTGAAAAGTTCTTTGCTGACCTTGATGCCAATATGGCTACTGTTGCTTCACTCAGGAATGAATACAGCGTAGCAAAGCAGCAACTAGAAATTTGTCAGGCGGACGAAGCATCTGCCTTGTTAACTCTAATGGAAATTGATGAACAAATTGCTGCTTTGCAATCACGTCGGCAGAGATCACTCAAAATGTAAAGCTGACCAACAAAAAGATCGTTCAATACTCCTCCAGTCAAAAAAAGTCATGGAGTGTCTCCCAAAGATTGTCCACGATGTTCAGGTAGCCAATTCTGAAAAGCAAGAGTGGGAGCTTAGAAAGAAGAGATCAGCTGAGCAAGAGGCTGAGATTCTAGCTAAATTTGCACCACTTGATGGGTTTTCATTTTGATCAGAATCTGCATTACCTCTTGTATGGGACCTTCTAGTTTCTAGTGCTTGGACTATGTCACAACTACTATTTCTGTATTTTACTAATTGTGAAGGCGAACTTTATTTTGTATTCAAGGTGATATGCAGATTGGTTGCTAAATGCTAACTAGTTCTTGGTATCCCTCACTGACTGGATTTTGATGCAGTGATTCATCGGTAGATACTTTTGTTTTGAATAGTTTTCGTAATATAACTTGACCTTTAAAAACTTGAGCTGGGATGCGTATTCCGGTGCTTTTGTCATTTTTGGATTGATTTTTCTGATAAGCTACCTTAAAAGCCGATTAAATCACTTACCAACCGGTTTTTTTTTTTTTTTGGTTTTAAACCTTTCTCTCTTCTCACACCCTTTCCACCTTTAGATTTTTGGTTCTGACTCTTCGCTTGGAGTCTCCTTTAACCAAAAATAATAATATTTTACTGATAAATAACCAACAAATTATTATTTTTTTTACAAGTAATTACAAGCTGAGTTGTAATTCGTATGATTAATACAATATAGAAGATGTAAAGAGATCATTTACAAACGGGAGATATCATCGTTTACAGATGGAAAGAGTAAAATTTACTCACAAGCAATATTAGATTAGTATATAGTAACGAATTAATTTTTATGCAGCGTCAATGAAATTTTAACTAACAAATAGGTTCAGATGCATATCACATAATCTAAATTTAAATTTAAAATTTACTTTTTTTTGCACATACGACATGCATTTACACTTACTACTAATTACATATAACCTTTTAAAATACTTTATAAAATTGTTCTTAACTAACCAAACCAAGTTGGGTTAGTTATTGTGAGATTGATTTATCATAATGTTATTATTCTTATTTTATTTAGTGCAATAAGGGTTTATTTGAACATTATTGTTGTCGAGTTGGATTTGATTTCTTCTTTTGTTCTTGAGCTTAATTAAGTTTTTATCTCAACATTAGAAAAGCTATAAAAGAAATAACTATAAAAAAATACAAATCTGAAATCTTTTGGGTTGTATCAATTTTTATCAACTTAAGTTAGCTTGATTATGAATCAGCCTCTTAACTTATGGAGCTTGGGTTTTTCTTTTCTTTATTTTTCTGAATTGTTCGGATAGTTGTTATTTGAATAAAATATTATTTTATTGCATCATAAGCACATTTTTCCAACTACTTTTTCATTTCACATAGTATATCATATCACAAAAAGTGCTACAATACTCTTTTTCAAAATATTATTCCAATAATCTCCTATCCAAACATACCGAGTTGAGTTATTCTAGAAACCTATTAATACCCGATAACAATCCATGTTACGACCATTTTCCTTAGATTTTTGAATTATGCTCTTCTTTATGAGATTTGATTGATATTATCTAATAGTTATCTGTTAATTTAATTTAAATGTCTAAATTTGTACATTTTTTAAATGTATCCATTTATGCAAAATATTTTGAAGATTCAGTAGTGTGAAAATGCTTACTGATTAAAAAGAATCACAAATTTTTATTAGCTTATTTCTTTTTTTATTATTATTTTTAACTTATTTCACATCCATAAAATGTAAAGGATGATTGGTGCAATTTTTTCTATTTCAACATATAATTGCGCCTTAGAGTAATACAATAGACTATTATTTTATTGGTAATGGATCAAATTCTCCTTAATACCCTCAAGGCTTTCTCAAGTTTCGTGGAATTGATTGTTCATCTCTTCAAGGTATTCTCATAAAAATTTTAGGATTTTTATTATAGTATTTTATCTTTGAACACAACTTGTATATAGGCCTTTGTTAGGGTTGATATATAATAGATGATCTATTGTTATTTCGTTGATATTGAATCAAATTCTTTTGAGTATCCTTAAGGCCTTTTGAATTTTGTGTTGAGATTTTACAAGGAAAAGATAGTTGTCTCTCTTGAAATTTTACGGAAAAAAAAAAGAAAAAGATCAGCATCTCTTGAAATTTTAATGAAATTATGATGTTTTATTTAAAAGGAAAAAACCAAGGGCACTGTTAGAATTTCAGATAACAAGCTTGGACAAAGCTGATTAATCAAAAGTTGCCGACTTGCCGTTACGAAATTAAAACTGAAACGGAGCAGACACCAACAGACTAACAGAGTCAACAGAGTGATGGGGTTTTTGGGGTTTCTCTGAATCAGATACAGCTCAACCCACCGTAAAATCCTTACTCCCGCATTTTTCTGTTTTTCCGTACATACACAATACTTGCAATCTTCCATAATTATATCTCGCCAGTACAATTGTTCTTTTATCAAGCTCTGAAATTTTTTTAATCATCATTTTCATTAATTGATCAATTAATTCTCCAAATCTTCCATTCCCTTTTTTTTTTAACAAAAAAATTCTTGTTTTTTGGGTTCAATTAGGTGAGCTCCCTGTTTTCAATCAAATTCAGCTTCTCACCAGATAATGCGTATTTCGTTCAGGTATTAACTCATACGACTGTGTGTATTAGCGTGTGTTCGTGTACATTGATATCTATACACGCAGAAAAGTACTTGTACATTTGTTCAATTGAAAATGTTATTTATTTTGAATGATTTCGGAATTTGCATTGCTCTGAAAATCTGTGTTTTTTTTTTTTGGCATTTCTTGGTAATTTTTTTTGTAATTTTATAGATTTCATTTCTGTTATCGTTTGACTTCTAGTAAACGTGAATCATAAATTAATACGGATTTTTTTTTGAGTATTTTATGGTACTTGTTTAGAGAAAATTAAACTTCACAAACGAATGGATAACTATAAAAATTATAGTTTATCAAAATTTGTGATTTTTCAATAGTGAGGAGCTGAATCACTGACTCTTTGACAGAAGAATGGTCGAAATATTAATGGGACTGTGTTAGTTGCTTTTCTTAAAGTTGATCGGTGAAATTTTTGTTTTTTTACTGGGTTTGAATTTGATGCTCTTTTTGGTTCAACTTTAAACTTGAAATTCTGCTGCGAAATGGTTAAGAGTTTCGAAAACATTCTGGGATAGAAGTTCAATGGATGTGATGATGGCCAGAACAGTGTGACTTGGACATGGAGTCATTTTGATTGAAGGATGCAGAGGTATATCACGCTAAGATGAGTTGAGTGAACTTTTTAGGTCCCTATCAATAGCGTTGAGTTTGAGCTTAGACTTTGTGAATTTGATTGCCGTTGAGTTGAGCTTGAACTTCGCTCTTCTGAATCAACTGCAGCCCTGGTTGGCATAGTTGAATGAAGTCTTTATTAGGTTATTGTTGGCCCTGATATCTCATCATGTTCATTTGTTTAATTGCTGATTCAAGATTCTCGAAGATTTTCTTTTGCTTTGTTTTAGCTAAACCTAATTTACCATGTGAATGTACTCTCTCCCTGCATTTAGATATTTTTTAAAATCAATTTCACTCTTATTAAAAAAAAATTAACACTTGAATTTATCTTAACAGTCTCCCCGAGATTACTTGTAAGCCCAACAAAAAAAAAAAATTGCATTTTGCAAATAACATTTCTAATTATATCTTTGAAAAGCTGAAGCAAGCTAAATTAAAGAAGCCTATATTCTTGCAACAACCAAAGATTTGACATCAAATTCAAATAAAGCAACATATTTTTAGATAATTTTTTATTTTTTTAAATTCATTTCTCATCCCAACAAGCCAATCAGTTGACTGTTGCATGGAGTATTTGGCAGAACGAGAGTCTGAGTTAAATCAAGAAAACCCACAACCGGGAGAGTTGGATCACTATCACTACCATAAACATATGGTGCAGCCAACCGTTTGAAAATTTCGTGAACAAGAATCTACCCCAGTTATCTGAATTCTGAAGCCATGGCCTACGCTGCAGCATAATGTTCCCTTCACTGTAAAAGAAGGTGAACGTGAATAAATCGTGGAGTCTGAGAGGGCTCAGAATAATTTTGTTGTTCACATTCATACAGAACAATCAATGACAAAAAGGAGAAAGTGCAAATGGAAGAAAGATTCCAAAAAGTTCAATTCCAGGGAAGTAGCCAAACCAATGGACAAGAAAATGAAGTATATATCTTCAATCTGCAACCACATGCTCCATAGAGCATGTATTTCAGGTACTGAGTTCCAAAATTGGATCACTGTTTTTAACGATTCGCTCTAAATTTTTTTTTCACTGTTTGGTACTGGATTTGGACGCCTGAATAGATTGAAATGACATATCCACAACTAGACAAATTTCCAGCTCCGCCTTGTTATTTCAATCTTCCGCAACAGTATGATATGTCCCAATTATTGGCAACCAGTTTCAATCATGAAATTTGCCTCACCAATCACGAGGACGTGTCTTCAACTATGCAAAAGTTCAATTAACAGAATTTACAGAAGATAAATTGGGCATAGTTTTATCCGTTCTCCAAAACGTAAGATGGTATTGGTGTCTGTCTATTCATAGTTATCACTCGACTTTGCATGAGGATTAAAACCTTGTTTAATTCTCATCCCCTAGATTAGTTATGTTGTGGAGTATTACAGAATTAAGGGAGAGCAAATGTCCAAATTTAGAACACACACACACACACACTTTGTAATCCCATTAACAAAAAAAACAACAGAATTCTTGAAAAGTCCAAAGCAATTGTACCCAATATTACTAGTAGTACTTTTGGAAGAGGGAACTAATTCCGCAAAATCTAGTCATATATCCTCCTCAAGAAAATCACCAATCACCATAATTGATTTTTTATGTTCTCCATGTAGTTGTATAGAACAATATTCTCCATGAAAATTCCACGTAGATTGTCATTTCCATGTTACCATATTGCAGGTGGTGAAATGATACCAAATGCTGTACATCATTTATCCTCATGTGGCCGGCGGCCTCTCACGTCAGTGATGAAATTATAGATATCTAAAGTCATTTTCATGTAGATATTGCCTCCATTTCAGTCCAAGCTGTCCGCTCCAACTAAATCATGAAACTCGCTAAAAAAAAGGGTGGAAAAAAAATCCAAGAAAAGTGACAAAGTTGTTCTTAAGCTGAATGAGCCCAAGTGTAATCAAACTATATATTCCTTTTTTTTTTCTCTTCCTGATCAACATCTTCTGTATAATCACCAATGTAATTGCAAATCAAGCATGCTCATTCATTAACATACAATAGTACTTCAAGTTCAGCTGGTTCACGGGGAAAGAGGTTTCTCTGGGCTCAATTGAACATCGTGCAAACAAAAACATCTTTTGGTACATGTGATTGGACTTCTTAGTAGTAAACTCACATGCCATGGGAAGTGATTGGTATTTGTTAGATCCCAATGCCCCATACAACTTAAAAATCCTGGCAATTGAATCATATGTGATTTGTTAATAGAATGGAGAAAGATGAACTTAGGATTGCTTAAGCTTGTTTATCATCATTTGGACCTTACTCACGCCCTATGAAGTTTTCAATTTGTGCATTTGTCCTCATCAAAATCTAAGTTAAGTTGTCTCTACCAATTTCTTTAATCGAACTAAACCATACATGCATGCTTAAATTTCGTGGGTCAGAGCAGTTTTAATTAAAGACACTTTCTTGTCTCTTCAAAAGTTAAGCGCCACATACCAAGTCAAGTATGCCCAACCAAAAGCTCATTCTCCCAAAAACAAACAGTTCTTAATTAATAGCAGTTTCATGGGAAGTAGGTATCTCCTCATATCCTTACCTAAACCAACTAATTAAGAATTTTTAGCAAAGAGGTGGTTGGTGGTGCGATATCTTTCTTTCTTGGATCCTCTTCTTGTGTCTCCCCCGCATGACATAAAAAAATGACAGTAGTGAAGTTTTAATACTATATCTTCTTGTTACTATTGAATCAACTCTCTCGCTAGTGCTTTAGATTTCTCAATTGCTTTCGCGCATAATTGGGCTTCCATGTCCTGCGAAGATAAACAGCATTCTCTGAAATGTCTTATATCTAGTTTAGATCAAAGGCAGTTTGGCTTTCCAGAATAGTTAAGCTCTTTGGGTTTTAATTCTCTCAATTTTGCCCATGGAAAAATGTAAAACCTTATTTTAATCCATCCGCTATGCCTCCATCAATATCTTTCAGGGTAGTGCCCCCAAGAGTGCACATGCCTATGCAAATTTTAGAGAGTACATTAGTCAAACCAACACCATGTGACTTGGGGTAAAGATATGCGTTTATTTTTCATTTCTTACCAACTATTAGATGGCCTTTTCACTGGTGTGTGTGTGTGTGTGTGTTTTTTTTTTCCCCCTTATTCTTTTTACCTTCAACTTCAAGATTTGTGGCTTTTATATGGATGGCTTATGAAACAGATGTGACGATGCCTAGCTTTGGTTGAGAAACTTTGAGGGCCCAAAATAAAATCAAATGTAAACTTTCAAGGGCTAAAATGAAACAATTTACATTTCAAAGGGATCAATTGACAGTTTGACACTAATCGCAATTTCTTAGCGCCTAAAGTTCTCGGATGATGATAATGCACGGATTGCTCCCAAAGTACAGATTGTGTTGTTTCGTGGAAAAAGGAAACATCAGAAGAGTACAAATTAATGTTAGCCCAGACAACTGCATAGATAAAACAAGAAAAGTTGATCTCTGCCTCTCCATTCAGGGCAATGTTGGGCTTGGTTCTAGAGTTCTAGACTTCTAGTTGTTCATGGAAATAATATTATTGTTGTTCTCCTTTCAATCAACCTATTTGATGCATATGAAAAAAGCCACTTGGTCGAGTAACCTCTCCATCATAAGTTCGTTTTTTCTCCTCCCTAATTAATCGTCTGCGTCTTCTTGTCTTTTCTTTAATCTTGTAGCTTACATTAACCCCGGTGGACTAAATTAATGTCCTTGGTCATCAAATGAGTTGTGACTTGGTAATGATGTGACAAAATTGACTGTAAATTTGTCTTACTCAACCCATACTTCTAATTTCTTGTTATTTGTCGGAATAGATTTACCTAACATAATAAAACAGCTTAGCTAACGCAGACAAAATAGCTCAAACAGCAGGCATAGCTTGCAAACTACTTACCGAGGATAAGAAATTTGGTGCAATCTGTCATAGAACCTGAAAATAATTGTGAGTGTTACTTGAAAATGTCGGTAACCTTGCACATCAACTAATAACCTCAAGTTTGATAACACATTTTTAAGGAAGAATCTTACCTTAGGCTGGGACAAATGGCACACGGCTAAGATATGTAAGAGCCCAAATGCTAAAGTCGCAAGATATACAAGAACTGCTACTGGTGTTGGACCAGCCTGCATTTCATGAAAGTACTGAATGGAAGGAAGTGGAAATATATCTGCATCTTGGTACTTTGGCACTCAAAACCATATGCAAGGTAGAAATGCAGCCTATCCCGTCCCCTATTTAAGTAGCACTGGCCTCCTTAGGTCCTCAACACCTGTGTTTTACTGGCCCTTTTAGCGACATTCTGGTTTCGTGGGTGCAAACCGCAAAGCACCTTTGGTCATGTGAAAGCCTATGAAAGTGGGGTGCCCTGGACCAGGATACAAAATTAAGGACAACAAACGAACTTCCCTGTCCCTCTAATAATTTCGTTATCAATTACCACAAGAATACCAAGGCATCCAACGTTTCCCAAGAAGATTCACACAAACACACAGATTAATTTACACATCACGAGAAAAGACATTCTTTACTAGCACCACATTTTACAATATACACGAACATTAGACGTTAGAGAAATTACAGCATTCGAGGAATCATATTCTCACGCTTGCCTTGGATTTCTATTTAGGTTTGTCCTCATAATACAAGAACTAGTTCTTTGCCTGCAAAGACAAGGAAAGCCAACAAGAGGACCCAGTCTAAGTTTACTTTCTCCCTTAAAGCACGAAGGAAAAAAAAAAGTGAAGAAAAATAGAAAAAAGAACAAAGAAAGACCCCCCACACTCCTACAGGCCTACACCTAATAAAAAAAAATGAAATGTAAATGAGAAAAAAGGGTTACACAACAAGTCTTGATGTCGCACATTTACGGTGGTGATCATCGGCTTTCTGGCCACTGTGTCCCGCTGTTGTGGATGACATTAAAGATACAATAAGGTCAGTGAAAGCACCAATGATGAACTTGTGAGTATGTTTTGGATTTAAGTTGAGATAGCACAGGAGAAGCTCATGCAAGAAATCCCAATCAGCTTTCACATCTTTTAATTCCTTTGCATCCACCATTTCTTGCATTGATCTTCTAAAATCAGTATAAGGGTCCGGTGAATAAGTGTGGATAGCAACACCACCGGAGACTACGGTGTTATCTGGCTCCGGTACCTGCGGCCTTACCGGTGACTCGATGATGGAATTCGAGTTGCCTGGAGACGAAAAAAAGAAGCGTTGTGAGGCGAAAATGGTGGAAAAATCAGGGATGGAATCAGAATTATCATCAGAATCTTCCGATGAGGAGAAGAAGTCGTCTGTTGAAGAAGTGAGAGACTTGGAATTGGAGTGGGCGTCTGATGAGCTGAGGTCACGATAGAGGGAGTTGAAGTTTTTGAGTGAGGATGAAGTGCTGGCATTTGGAATATTGATTGGTACAGCGTTGTCATGATAATCTTCTTCTTCTTCTTCAAGCGTCAAAGGTGGAGATAGAGTTGTGGGGAGGCATTTGATCTTGGAGACACAGAGGTAGAAGTTCTTTCTGAAGATGTTGGCCATTCTCAGTTCTTTTAACCAGGGTGGGAGAGTTAAAAGTCTTCCATAATAGGCATATATATATATTATACTGGCCAGCAGTGTATTTGTATCTCTTTTGTACTACACGGTTGGTGCGTGTATCTATGGGTGTATGTGACTATGTGTCCGTGGAGAATATTCATGTGGATATGTGTATGTAACTTCATGCATGTCTGTATGTGTAACTGTGTCATTGACCAAGGTTTATATATTTTTTTGTTTAAATCAAATTTTAGTGTAAATATTTTTTTCTATACCAGTAGCAGCTGTCCATGCATGTCATATCTCTAGAAAGTAAATCTAAGATTTCAGTGGAGATTATATATCATTCAAATATGTTACTGTATAAAAATTTTTTACAGTGACAGTTTAAAAAAATTTATTCTTCATTGTTTAAAAATTTTACAATAATGTAATTAACAATTTATATCAACCGGCCTAAAAGCAGGTTCTACTCTCACCGTGTCAGTTTCTCAACCCTTCCCTGCTTTTTCTTTCCCACCCTTCTCCTTTTAAAAGCTTATAAAGAAAATAAAAAGATATTTGATGTTGCACCAGTAAAAAATTAAGTCAACTAATATGTATTCTCTGCATTTTATAAGTTACTAAAGATAATCAGCATAATCATTGGTTTTCTGTTAACGTTAGCAGTCAAGTCTTCTGACTTGTCTAGAGAAAATTACATGATGCTGATAGTTTCAGTAGGATAAAGGAAAATTGAAAGATTGGATCAAGATAAAATCAAGAATATGCTATCTATCAACTATTTTGTTCGAGAGCATGGAATTCAACCTTTCTATAGTGTAAGACAAGACTTGGTGCTACCATTTTCTTCTAAGCAAAAGAACCTAGCTATCGATCGGGCTTGCAACAGGGCAGATCAGAATTCGACTATTGCATTAACCCTTCTTGATTTCTACGTGTCCAAGCAACAACTCCGGTTCCATCAAAGCAACGACCCTCAAATGGCCTTGCCACCCTTGCAGCACTGTAAAGGAACATAGAACATAAATAGTAATACTACTACTCCCTACTAAGAAGAAGAAGAACAAAACGAAAAGCGAAGTTGGAGGATATGCAGTACACAAAATCAAATATTTGAGCATGTGCGTTTCCTTGCATGTGGGTATGTAAACTGTAAAGTGTAGTCCTTGAGTAGCTTTGCAAGTAGAAATTCTACACGAAAGCAACGTTACTGTGCAGAGAAAAATCCTGGACTCACAAGTGTCAAGTTTACATAGCTCTAGCTCGCTAAATGAGTTAGTAAAAGTGTACAGAGTTTTTGGAGGGCAACAATTTGTCCTTGGGACGTTTTGGCATTTAAGGTTCACGAGGGCACTCGTCCTTCTTCTTCTATTTATAAATTCCAGATCCAGAAGGCTATCATCATCGGGTGACTGTGCATCTATAAACTTACCCCTCTAGGATTTCTGTGAGTGACAAAAAAAAAGTTTCTTCAAGAATTTTTGACAGAAATGTTGGTCGAGTTTCCTGTTGTTCAGGGCCCTTTTAAATTTGGAAATGTAAACAGTACATCTGGTCCACTGACGGGTATTGCTACTGTTTGAATCCAAACTTGGTCATCAAAACTGGAAAGATCGATTTTTGAAAAACTCACAATGAGCTATTAGCTGGACAGGAAAGAAGAAGAAGAAGAAGAAGAAGAAGAGGAAAAAAGAAACATGATGAAAACATGAAAAGGAAAACTTGATTGAGTAATGCATTCCGAGAAATTTGTCTACCTGGGTAATCCAGAATTCTGAATCATACTCAAGCATGGTTCAAAAACTCGGCCACGTCGTCACCGTCTCGGGCTCTCGAGACGATGTCGGGATAACAGGCTTGCGGCATCCCCCGGGGCAATAGGCTTGCCAGCAAGCTCACCGGTGACTGGAAAAACATCTCCATATTTGATTGGCTCCTGACCTTCCTGAGGCCTTCTTGGTTGTTCTTGGCTCCTCTTTGCTGTAGTATTACGCAATTGTTCTTGTTTCTTGGTTTAGATGGGAAATTGATTTTAAGAAGTTCGTGCTTTGAGCCTTCGGCCGTAAAATGAGATGCTATATACCATGCAAAATTGGCAAGTTAATCACCGTCGAGAGGGAAAAATGGAAACCATTAATCGCCTTTCTGTTTCATTGATCAGTGGCAATTGGTGAGCAGATGAATTAGCGATGCAGACGCAAGTGGCGCGTTAAGAGATTAATTTGTCTTCACCATGAGGAGCAATGCCTCGGGCGGCACCCCATTGGTGAAACTACACATACGAGATTTAGTCTATTGATCTATTAACAGTTGGCAAAACAAACTCATTTCTCGTAAGAGTCTAGTAAACTAACCATATATGATGAGGTAACAAAGTCACGAATTTGCTGGTACATCGCAAAGAAGGGAAAATAAGGCAAACGGAATGCATAAAAAGCACCTTCTTAGACGATGAAAACTTGCAAAATGGTCTCCAATTTAGGTTACATAATAGACTGTTTGGAGCAATTTATAGCGGAAAAGATTTTCGGAGCATCAATCTCTGTATGAAGTAGGCACATAATATTCCTGAAAAACCAATGTAGTAGCATTCTAAATATAATATCAGCGTTCTGCCTGTATCGACTACAACTGGATGGTTATTCCATTACATATAATTCTCACAGGGCATTTGTGGATAGATATTTCACCAAGAAAGTAGTGCATCATCAACTGATGAAAACACAGAAGCCAAAGCACATACTACAACTGTTTGCCCTTTTGGATGACATCGTCCTATCGAATTCATAGATATATCCTCATGTTGCAATATCTATCTATCTAGCAAGGCCAGAAAGATAAGATAAGACCTAGGACTAACAATCTAAGCTTCAACTTCAAACCATGAGTATTCCAAGTTTTGTACATGCTGCATTATTATGTAGCCATGCCTCAAAGGGAAGCATTTGGTCCATCATTCTTCGCTTCGCCCAGCAACCTCTAACCCATTACCTGCAAAAGATTACATGTTTGAACCAAACTACCATAGTTATTCCTGAGCTTTGGATTGCAGATATTAACTAGAAGCAAAGTTCATAAAGGATCATTTGAACTGGTAGTGACATGCCAAAATGGTGATGATCTACATCTGCAGAAAATGCCGGATTGTGATATGAATTGTCCACTTCAAAGTTCTATTGTTATTTCTTTCCCTTCTATATTCCTTTCCCGGGAAATGTCCAGTTAATTGCTGATTTAACTAAACTACCAACAGGAAACTTACCATCTGGATCAAAGAAGAATGCTTGTTTGGTCTTCCCATCTGGTTGAGTCCTGTGATGAATCTGGATCCCCTTCTCCTGCAAGGGACAACATATTTATCTTCACCATATAGAGATCAGGAAAGAACAAAAGAAAATTCCTTTCTTATTTGGGGGCGGGGTTGGTGTTGTTTGGTATCAGCAGAGGGTAACTGTTCCACGTTAAAAAAGTTTATAGTGAACTACACAATGTTTTTCTTTTGGAAACTGTTTCAAATAATCTAAATGATGCAGCAGATGCAAATTCTTTATCTGTAAAGTGGAAGTTTCTGTTTGCTCAACCCTTCTCGCAAACTGGGAACTTAAACTACAATGATTTCTAAGCTGACATATTCTTTGAAACATACCATATGAACCTCTGCCACAACAATTAGACAAGTTGGAATATTCAATATCCAGACTACTCAGTGCTAAGATTTCGAAAATGTGAATAATGCTTAATTGCATTACTTAATTACTGGAAGTCATACAAACACTTTCTCAAACAACAATTTGACTTTTCTGAGATATCAAGACCAATCTTGATCTCATGCACACCATATACATTCAACTACTGCATCAGATGCAAAATTCTAAAATGAGAATAATGAGAGTTATATAACCCCAGGCATCACATCAAGTAGTGGAGGAGCACAGAAGAGTGTAAAAACTGAGAACGCTACTGTTGCCATTAAAAAAAAAAAAAGAAGAAAACTTGGCTATCTAAATCCATGTTAGATTGAATGTTTCAGATAAAGATTTGAAGAACCGACCTTCGCTCTTCAATTATCTTGAAAAGGCACATTATCAGGCTAGTCAGCTAACTTAATAGTCATTATGGGTCATGTCCTTGTTTCTCAATAGAGAAGAATGAACAGATATACCACAGGTGCTTTTTCTTTACAAATTTTCAATAGCAATATCCAATTTGCATTCTACCTTACAGCCCAACTTACCTTCTACTAAATGGTACCTAAAGTATGCCAGATTTAAAGTTGCCAGTCCTCAAGAAATCAGTTTATTCAGCAATTCACAACTACTTATTCGTACAAGAGATAATTTGTGCAACAATTAGAGGTTAAAATTTCACCAACCAACATGAGAATCAAATCTGCAATAGTTTCTGTACAATAAGACAGCAAGGTTTTGGCATTATTAATGCCGTCAAATTGAATTCTGAAATCTCATGTACGAACAACAAACGAAAGTTGATGCAAGAAGAGTTAAAAATCCAATGGACTCAGAGGATGAAAAATTCGTCATTTCATTCTTCTCAGTGTAAGTAAATTCTGAATGCTACTGCTATTGTTTTTCTTATCAAGCGGCTATCTTGAGTTCCATCTTTTAGGCCCATACGTTTTCAGGTTCTAATTTCTTGTCTATTGCAGGGCCTCTGGAAGGCAGTGATCACAGGATTCCCTCCGACGTATCCAACCAAAAAAGACTTCTTCTTTCATTGCTGTCTGCTTAATACGGTCTTGACACTAGAGTCAATTTTGGAACAGCAACTTCTCTGCTTAATAAGAATCAGAAGTCAGATATTGACTTCTGTACACTAAGACAGAGACTTCTGTACTCTTGTATTCTTTTAACTTTAAGAGCAACAAAGAAGATCTCTGATCCAAACATCTACTTGAGTAGTTTGGAACCACAATAAACAAAGCTACAATTTTTTTTTTAAGTTTCAATTTAAAACACAGCATTCATTTCATCAAAATAACCCGTCCATTCAAACCCACAAAATATCAGACTTAAAAAATAATAAAAAATAAATAAACGCAGTACACAGCAAATATATACTCCAACCTTGACGGCCTGAACAAAGGAGTCGAAATTGGAGACAGAGAAGCAGATATGATGACCCCTGGGGAGATTCTTGGGGTCAGCCACTGCAGAGGTGGAACTCCATGGACCTTCAGGGAGCTTTGTGGTAGGGTCCCTCTCAATTAGATGAAGGTAAAAGGATGGTTCCAACTTCAACCATATTACATCGAACTCAAACCTTGGACTTTCTACCCGCTGAAAACCAAATACCTGCAACCAACCCACAGGCTGAATTCCCCATTTTCATCCAATCTTTACATAATTGTCAAGGCATACAAACCTCTATATAGAATTGAGCCAAGCGTTGGATATCTGAGGATTCCCTAGAGACATGATTGAGGGATACTCCCTTAGCCGCCGCAGCTGCCATCTATACCTTTTTCAATAATGGTTCTGGCTCTTTTTCTTTTCTTTTTTCTCAGATTAGCAATGGAATGAGTTGTGGGAAAATTCGGTTTCCTTGGTGTTTGCTTGTGGTGTCTACGTGGAGTTTGGCGAGTAAAGAAGATTAAAGAGTTACGTGAATGTCTTGTTCCTTTTGGTATTGGAGAGACCGGAGCCGGGAGGACGGGGGAAATGGCCACCAAATACTAGTAGTCCGGTGCCAGTAGTCTATCAAAAGAGCTTCAAAAATTTTATCAATCGCCATATGAATTGCTAAATTCTTGTACCATTTTTTTTAGACTTATTATCACTTTAATCCCTTAAACTATCTCACTACTATCAGTTTAACTCTTAACGTTATATTTTAGTCGTTTCACCCCATAAATAATTCAACTCAACATGATAAATATTCGGACAAAAGTACCCTTTTGTTAGATAGCATTACTACATTGTTATTATCATTTTATTTCTTTAAATTACAGTAATACAATCACTTTGATCCCTGATATTATTTTCTAAACATTTTACCTCATCATTAATCTAACCAATATAGTAAAAAAAATTTAAAAGTATTTACCATTTATTATATATAATTAAAAATAAAAAGTTAGAATGGTTATTCTTCCTGTTGTTTTCACTTTAAGAGATCCAAATACATAAAAATAAAAAGGATTTTCTCAAATTTTTTTTTCACACTTATTAATACTAGAAAATGAAATAGGAGAGACGGAGATAGAAAATTAGATTTTACAAAGAAAAAAAAAATAAGAATCTAACATTATCATATTACTTTAAGGTTATTGGGATTAGAATTGAAATTAGGTGATAAATATAAAAATAAAATAATTTTAGAATAATAAAAATATTTCATTCTTTTTTATTTCTATTTTAAAAAAAAACAATTGAGTCGAATCGAGATTGAGTATCACTGTATTCAAATTTGACTCGACATGTAAAAGGATACTCAAACTTGAGTAGATAGCATTGTTAGAGCTCGAACTTGATGAATTGCTCATAGAATTCAAGCTTGACTCACATGAGGGTCGAGTTACTGCGAGTTTCATCGAGATTGAATCGGGAAAATTTGGGAATTTTGAAAAAGACATTATTGCCCTTCAAAAAATTTCATATGACTTGAAAAATTTCATAAATTCAACTACTCTTGTGAGTACAAGGGTAATTTCATAATAATATTATATTAAAGAATTAAAATTAAAAGCTTGATAAGGCCCAATGAACTATCAAATTTTACTATTGGATATTCGAACTCGACTTGCAAAATCTATCGAGCTACTCGAACCCGATCAACCCGAGTTCAAATCGAGTTTTTGACCAAGTTGCTCGCAAGCAGTTCGGTTTAATTACAACCATAATTGTGTCAATGGCATCAGCCTGATTAATACAAAATTCTTCAAATTTAGATAAGTGCACAATTTAAGAACTAGATGTTTCAGACAGTTTAATTAGCCACATTAATCCCTAAGCTCTGTGTAAGAATAATAAAATACTGCACTATAATAAACGCAAACTCAATATAGATGGAACAAATTCAAATGTAGAAAGAATCTTTTGTTTTTTCATTCCTCAGTTGAGATATTTTTAATACTTTGACATGTGTCATTTTCTATGATTATTGAATCATTTTAAATTTTTAATAAATTTGTTGATGTTATGTAATAGTCATTGTTTGCTAAATTCAAACTCCAAGACGTAAATTTAAATGTCTAAATCCTTACATTATTTTAAAATTTTAAATTATTTTTTATTATTTATAAATCCGTGCATTGCATGTAACATAATGCTAGTAAACTAGCTATAGAAATCCTTGTGTTTTTTTTTTCTCTTTTATTCTTTTTAATTAAAAAGGGCATCTCACAAATAATTGCCAAGCTTTCCCGAGTTTCGCTGAAAGGTCTATACCGATCCCGATTTCGCACCATCCTTCACCTTAAAACTATGGCATTGTCATCAATGCCTAACAATCCTCTCTGTCTCTGGGCATTGTGATTTCTTCCAGCGAAGAGAGGGAGGAGGAGATTTAATATTAGGTTCATAATGGCTGGATCCTGTCAACATCTAAAACCTGATGAATCTCCCTCTCCTTTTAGTCCCTTCCATGAAGGAATATCAATGTTGTTATCAAGATGGACAGCCCTACAAATGGCCGTCCAAAACCAATGGGGTGGCCGTGATTCTTTCATGAAATCTCAGCAACTAGCCTATGAAATTAACTCTTGGTTTTCTCAACCTAAAGGTACCGAATGCGAATCCTTTCATCTTGAATTTGATAGCGCCGAAGAATCCAATTATATGTCGAGTCAAGTTTCGTCATTACACCAGAGTCTCATTGGCCATACAGCAAACTGTATACGTTTGTACCTCTAACTAATGATCTTAATCTATGAACCAGTTGTGCGGCCTGAGACTGTATGGTTTAACCGTGCAATTGGCATGATGCAATGTTTTACAAGATCGAATGATAGAAAAGTATAATTTAAGACCCGAGCATGAAGCATGCAATTTAAATTTACAAGAGTCGAGACGAGTAATGTGGTGTCTCAAGACCATTTAAGTCAGCCATCGCTCCATTTTTTATTTTTATTTTTTGGGTTTTTGCTTCTATAACAGGAATTTTTGGTTTAGCAGAGGGCCTTACTTCTCGTAAATTGTTATATAAATACAGTATCTCTTCATATAGAAGACTTAGAGAGTCTGTTGCACGAGAGATTACTCCTTTCTTTCAACACAGAGATTGAGGATGGCAGTATTGAGGAGGTACTAATCTTAATTAGCTGCTTAAAATGTTCATAAAGATTATGAAGTTTCGTCTGTTTCAGCTGTATATGCCCATAAGTTTCATATGTGAGACAACAGGATTCCATCAGTAGCAGTAGAGCATGCAGGGCCCCTGCGCTGCATCTAGAAAAGTCACCATTTCATAATTCATGAGAGGTCCAGACAATTACTGCGTTCCTGCTCCTGCTTCCCTGTTTAATGTACTGATCTGTGCTACTTTACGTCCAATCAGATTGCAGAACAATTGATGACAATGCATGAAGAATCTTTGCATGGGAATCGGAGATTGAGCGTGGAGTCAAATCAACACTTGTTGGAATCTGCTCAAGATGCTCCTTCAAAGAGGACTGGTGCGCATTCGCTAGCCACCTGATTAATGTACGTCTCTTTTTTTTTTTCTTCTCGTTGAAAAACTTTTTTTAAGATAAAGTCTTTATTAAATTTTAGATGATCATGTAAAATATAAAATTAAATTAATATAAATAATTTTTTAAAAAAATTAAATGATAAGTAAGACGAAGTGAGTACTCATTGATCCGACCCTATTTCAGTGAATATCCGCTAAAATGCGAGGTAAGTAAGAGTTATAAAATGATTAACCTGCAAAGTGTAGGTCGGATCAACCAAATAGTGGACGAGGCATATCCGACCCGTGCCCACCCTTAAAAGGTATTTACAATCTGAGCAAAAGCTGATTAATGTATACACATCTAAATTCCTCGGAAGTTCAACATGGAGCTAAAACTGTACATATACTCTGGGGAGATGTAAAATTCAATTAACTATGAAAGCGAACTAATCAAGAAACCTTGAGACTTGCAGCAACATAAATGCCTTATTTCAGATTTCATGCCCATCAATGTTGTTCACCGTGCTTTGTTAAACTTCCCAGATTGACTGCACCTGACTCAATTGTAGCTTAATTAATGTAGTTTCTCATCTTCCTCCAAAAAAAAGAAGAAGAAAACATAAAATTCCCAGCAATATAGTACATTGGCGTAGGCATGAACAAGTACATGCACATATTGTGCACAATATCTCATACCTAAAAAAGAAGCAACACCAATACGGAACGTTATTCCCTTGAGGTGCCTCTTGGTAGAGAATGACAATGACCATATAGGCAAAGACAAGGCAGCAAGGTATATCAGCAGGCAACAATGGTGAATTTTATTTGGAGAGCAATCCTATAAATCTATGTCATGGTTGACGGGAGGATCACCTTCGAGCTACACAAGGCCAGTGATGATGAAAATTTTCTTTGGTGTTCGCTACAAAATTTCTACACACTTAACATAATGCTTTCACTTGAGAATCTACAGAAGAGGAAAAAAAAAGTTAGTAAGTTTTTCTTCAGTTGGTAGTAATTTTCTTGTGGTGCTTGTTTTTCGTTAACAACTGCAGGGTTGGAATAAGATGCATAAGAGCATAATGGCCATTTCGACCTTGTAGAACTGCATGCTTGGAGCTGATGTTTTAACGTATCCTACTCAACAAAGGGATGGCCCGAACGTCCAGGCCTTTTCGTAGCATGCATCTCCATCTTGCCGAACCCAAAAGGCTTATTCACTATCTTATCATTGCGTATGTAACACCATTGATTCCGGCATGGATGAAACTCCGGTTGTGCAATTAACTTGGAATGCTCCTCAGTTTTGTATCATGCTCACATCGTGCCAATTTCAAAATAATAATAATAATAATAATAAAAGGTGAGGATAGCTGTGCAATTTAATCAATGACCAAAAAGGAAGAAAAAAATATAGCCGTTCAATTTAAACAATGCAAAAACGAAAAAATAAAGGTGAGTATACATATGCAATTCAAACATCCAAAGAAAAAAAAAAGAAAGAAGAGAATGTGTCTCTGCAATTTAAACCGTAGAATTCTTTTTTTTTTTTCTTGCCATTAACAATTTACCAAATTTGCACATTTGAATACTAGTGATGGAAGTAGATAGAATTCAGAACTCTTAAAAATGTCAAAAATACTTAAATAACGCTAAAAATATCGTATAGAAAATCAATGATCATAACGTTATAACGCTTTCATATGATGTAAAAGCTCAATGGTTATAACGTATGTACGTTACGATTATACCATGTGAATTGCCCTAAGCAGTTCAAAAGTGTAAACGATAGTAAAAACTTTGCTCATATACTATGCAAGAGCATGAGTGGACTTTTACCATGTATAGTTCCGAAACTTCAATGCTTGAGCTCCCCGTAGATGTGATAAGGTTACAATGCGTTAAAATCACCAATCTTATTTCTTGGAGGTGTGATTGTATCTGGTCTAAATACGGCTGCATACCAGTCGAGCAGCTCGACTCAAAACTCGATGTGAACTCGGTCAACATCGAGTTGGAGTTGAATTTGAACTAATTAAATCGAACTCGAATTCAAAGATACTTAACTCGTGAGCCAGTTTGATTATGTGTATCAGTGTATGTATATATATGTGTGTGTGTATGTATATATATACATAATTTTAGTAGTGAAATTAATATAAATCCCTAATATTTTATTATTTATTAAGAAAAATTATTATTTTATTTATTTTTTTAAGCTCGGGTTTAAACTCAACTCGATTCGAATTTGAGTCGATATCGAGTTCAAACTTTACATTGAGAGTTCGTCGAACTCGAACTTGATAAAATTAAGTCAAAACAGAGATCGATAGGTCAAAACTCAACTTGACTCGATTCATTTGTAGCACTACATCCAAAGTTTACATTGATAAATAAAATGACATTTTTTTTGCAGAAGAGGAAAACAAATCCCTACAATAACTTGCAGGTGCATAATAATACGAAAATATAGCTGCCATTTCAAATAGGAGTTGACATGCCTCATATCCGGTGCTTTTTTCCTTACTTTTTAAAAAATATGAAATAAAGAAAAGCTATTATATCAAATTTTTCGTGCATATATATAGCCAAGTAATTTAATATATATGAAATACAAAGGTAATTAGAAAGATAGTCAAGTAATTTAATGTATATGAAATAAAAAGGTAATTAGAAAGGTAAAATGTGTATGCAAGGAAAAAAATGATTTCAAATAATAACGTATCAACAGTATTGATTCACCCTATTCCCAAACAAAGGCTGAAAACTAGGAGGGGTGAAATAGTCATTTTATTTCCTACCAGTTGTCACGGAATGCTTCCAATAATCTGGACACGAGTATAGAGAAAGCCAGTCTGAAGAAGATCACCGTTCAACGCCACTTAAACACTCACATGCAGTAACAGAGCATAGCTGAGCCTAAAGGCTAAAGGCCTCTTAAGTTGCAATCTAGTAAGTAGTAACCATCAGAAGATGCTTTCAAAGACCCCTTAACATTTGGAGCTGAACCATTTACCAATTTTCTCCTATCTTTGTCAATTATCTCTCTGATCAGACACTCACTTGTAGGTGTTCTGCCGTAAGTATTATTTTGATCTTTGTTCACATTTCTTGGCTTGATCAGCGTGACATGCAAATGTTCTTAAATTGAATGCAATTTTCTTTATTTTCTGTTAGAATTCCTGCATTTTAACAACGTCCCTTATTTTGGTTTTATATGTGGATATACATACGGTTTGGGGGATTGCTTGGGGTGGGGAATGAGAGACATAATCAAACCGTTTCTTTTGAGTGGTGGGATTGTTTTACAAGAAATTATAGATAGATGCATGTTGTTAATGAAAAAATCAGTTGTATTTGGGGTAATATTTTTCATCTAGTGCGAGAGTCAACATTCTCATCTCTGTTTTAGCTTTTTTTCTAGTTACTTTTTTTTTGGGGTTTTCTTTTCATGCTTTAGTCGATCCATTTGGTTTGCTACTTCAGCAACCAAAGATGATCGGATCTGGAGTTTTCACTTCTCATTCTGCAAATATGTTGTAACAAGCCCCTTTTTGCATCCACTTTGACTCAAGTGTTTAGTTTTTGCACCATCATAGGACAAAAACATGTTTCTTGATAATTGGTGTAGGGACTCTACTTTGTACAAAGGCGTGCAAGTATCACTTAGTGATCAGTATAATCTTTGTATTCCATCTGTTGGGAGTGGCTCCTAATACATGTAGGCAGTTGCATGCTTATCAGAATCTTTGTCCATTTGAGTATTATGAGTGGTGGGATGTATGGTATAGTATAGCGTACAAGTTTCACTTGGTTTAGGACAGAATGTTAGCTTTTCGGTTATGCTCTACAGTAGGCTTGTTAGCTAAATTTTTTAATTCAGTTAGAATTTGAAACTTATGCAAGAAATGTGGATATTTGGCATTAAATTCATGTGTTTCTTCCCGTAAAATATTTGATTTACACGTCATAACTATCAATCAATTAACATGACTGACTCATAGTTGAGCTCATGAATCCATTGGAAAAAACATTGTGCTACGGAACATGACATATTCTAATGCAAGAGCTTGAAAATCGAAAATGCAGCCAAAAGGAGACTTGTTGAACTTTTATTAGCTAGAATAGATGTGGAATAAGATCTAGTCGTTTTTGTACCTGCTTACTTTTCTTAATTCTATCCCGTTATTAATTGTGCACCAGAGACATTGAATTCCATTGAGCTTGACTTTTGCAAGGTGAGGAAACATGAAGACTGATGTTTCCAAGGCAGGTCATGACTGCAGACCCTTGAAAAGAAAATCAGAAGTTCTTACTAGTCCAGTTCCACCTGGAGCGTCGGGCAAAGGTTTGCCATATGCTCCAGTTGATTGGCCAAATGTTGGTGATATTTGGGGTTGGAGAGTTGGAACCAGAGTTAGGGTGGCAGGATTCTACAATGATCGGTTCTTGTATGCTCCTCAGAGGCTCCAAAAGAAGCCTACTAGAAAACTACTATTCCAGAGCAAGCCATCTGTTTTACGTTATCTAAAATCACAATTCCCTGAAGCTGACATTGAAGAATTTTTTGCATCATTCACTTGGGATGTTCCAGCAGAAGCTCATTCTTCAAAACTAAGTAAGCAATTTGCCATTGTTAATGTGCAGAGATTTTTTGAACGTTGCGTGTTGACATTGCTTTGTGGACTGTATTCTATGTTTCGTTATTTTTTTCCAATATAATCTTCATGGATTGAGGACAGTTGATAATGAGTATATAAAAGTTACTTGGACTTTGGTTTATTAGCTCTGAACCAATATACGTAGTATGTTTTGGTGATATTGTGGTTAATCTGTAGCAGTTCATTACCAAAAGATGGTGGTTCTATGTCTTTCTTAAGTTACAAGTTGGGTATATTTCATTATAGTCTCAGTAGACATCAATTGGCTTCTGAAACCTGAAATCTTTGTACATTATTACATTGTTGTTAGAGACCTCTTCTTCTGTTCCATTTGGTTGTATGATCACACTCTGTTAAACATTG